GGTGCTTCACCACCCACCGCCAACTCTGGGGCTACTCTTTTACCAACGAATAGTGGGATTGACCGTCACATGCTCGCCCTTTCAGCCGTTGGTGTGAAGGGGAGGATTCGAACCCGCGACCCTCAGATTGCGAGTCGAGTGCCTTAACCACATGGCCATGTGGTCATATGAAACTCTGCATTGAAAAATTATATTTCTTCTAACATTAATTCCATGCTATGACTAATTAATTAAAGGAAGCGCCAAAATCGAACTATTATATTATTGCATACCCATAATTTGGAACTTATCAACAAAAACAGGTGGGGATATGTATATCATTAATAATAAGAAATTGTATGAAGGGGTATATTTATCGGCCAAATTTTATTGAGAAATAAATAACAGAAAACATTTTACACGGCAATGAACCATAAATTAATGTTCACTTCTAAAGATTTTAGAAATTACTTGGGGAGTCCTTTAAACGGTATATTGTACACAGAATAACGAAACTTGGAAAAATATTATACAATAAACTTAATACGACATTTTAGTTACCCGTGGTGAAGAAGATACAAAATTGTTTTTGACTTTCAAATCTAATACTTGAAACGTATTTGCTGTTTATCTACAATTCCAACACTCTTACATGGTCCAGCCTAAACTGTATACTGGTCTCTATTTTTCTTTTAAAACAAAAAGTAACTTGATTCCGATCGACTAAAACAATCCCACAATTACAGAGAGGGTAATATTTTACTGACCAAAATAAACCCAAAACTATGGAGAGGGCAACATTCTACACCAGTTATGAAACATCTTCAAAAAAGCATTTAAATACAGATTAGTATATTTGAGATAAACAATAAATTTCCTCAAAGTTACAGCCAACCTATGGAGGTTCAGCGGAATATCTGTGGGGTCGTAACGCTAAACTTCGAGTTTTGATACCTACAGTGCACAGCAGAGATAAACCAGTGTGCAGCCTTCTGCTTAAAACAAACAAACAAAAATACTACAGCTACAGAGCATTAATCCCGAAAAAAAGTTAGTTACTTAGTTTTTATCCAGAACTTTTGAATGACACCCGCTTGTTCCAGCAAATCTTCTGACTACTTTAAGCATTGTAAAACATTATTATAATTTATTTACCGATTTATAAATATAGAGTATTAAGAATGCCATATGGTTGTCAAAAAACAACGTGTAAAGTTTATTTTATACTTTATTTGAAAAATTTTATAATCCTAGAGTATTAAAATTTTCTATTTTGTGTTATAAGAATATATCAATCATATGTAAGTTCTAAAACTTACTAATTTTTAGTTTCGAATGATTTTGGGTTTGGTTTATTTTTTTGGTTGATATGGAACAAAATCACCATAAACTACATATACTTAGACTACTCATATGAGACAGTGTTGATCACAAGGCATCATACATACATTTATACATTTATATTATGGTTATTCTGACCAACTTATATATGATTTATCCCCATCATTAAATTTAGTTATATATGCACATAACGCGTATTAAACTGTACCTAAAAGACATAATTGTGAATTACCTTCATTATGACTAGCTACTGGAGACAAATGTAGAATGAGTTCTATTTTTTTTTTTTTGCACACACACAGGGAGGTATTGCCCGGAGCGTCACCTTTGTGCATAACAACAGCATATACACTTTTTAGGACAGCTTTTATGGTAAGCACGTATTCATTTTAATCTATTCTCTATTGTTTATGTTGCTGTATTTTAAACAACATTATAATTTTTAGGTTTTTATTGTAATTTAGTTATTACATTATTATTACAAATAAAAAAAATGTAAATCTAAATTATATAGGGATAGCAGTGCCAAAAATCATGCAAGCAAGAATATAGGGATGACACAGTTACACATAGATCATCCCTATATGACTTTCAATATTAAGATTTAATGGTACACTGTAAAATGCACGAGTACAAAATTATTACGAAGTCGATCAATTCGACCGACCTCATGGTGAGAGTCTGTAA